TTAGATTTGTATGGCGAGAATGCGTGTTTCAGCCCGTGGACTTTTGTTTTGAGAACAAATGCGGTCGTAGCGTCCTCAGCGCTGTGGGTTAAAGTCATGTTGAGTCTTTGCCGGCTGCTGCGTCTCTTGGCATCATCCATCAGAGAGTCTTTCTTTATTGCCTCCTGATTGGATGCAGACAAATCCTCCATAGTGTTGTTAAACTCTGAACACAGGCTGCAAAGTTTCAAAATGCATCATGCATTTGGTCTTAATGTAGAAACGTGATCCTGTGACTGAAGATCTGATCACATTCATCAAATTAGCAATGGAAAAAATCCTAATGAATTCATTAAGCTTGAATATTCTGCATCATTGCCAGTTCATGCAAAGCAAAACGAAAAATACAAACAGGCAAAAAAGATCTGTACGTTACCAAGCTGTTCCAACAAAGCTTATTGAGATAAATACAGCTAATTTCAATCTCATTCACAGCGCAGTTTCTCCAGGATCCTCAGGTTGATTTGTCTTGCACTTCAACAGATCAGATTGAGTTTTCTCGCTCATCCTTCACCTCTTCTCTTCATTTTTTTGTACAGAACAACTATGTGAGGCTGGCTGCAGATTCTTGCTGCTTTCCCCTTTGTGTGAGAGCGCCCAGCCCCTCCCTCTCAGCTCAAATTATTCTGTCGATGGATTTGCAGCAGGCATATAGATCCATTTGTCCCTGCTTCTTGCATTCCTCAATCGGGAAACCCAGAAGCTTACATATTTCTTGTATTAAAGTAGAAATATGACCAACTAAGAGCGCACTAGAGATTCCCGGAGGGTATGTCATTTATCACACTTGTTTTTTCTGTCTTCGTTGATGCTTTGGGGGCCTTTCACAGTTGATTATTTTACATTAATATCAACAGTCTTCTCATGGGACATATATCGGTTTTATTAGTATAATATTTATGTGCTTTAATGGATTGACTCAACTCAAATGAGCTCAGATGAACTGTTGTTTACTGGTTATGCATGACGCAAAACTGATACAATGGACATGCAGCTGATCTTTTATTTCTACAAAATCCTGTGCGGACACCTGTGGGACATCATAAACTGCTATTATATTGATGTATGATACATATTAAAGTCTATACGTACAGTAGGGGGCCAAAAAGCCAGAGATCACACTTAATATCTGGGACTGGAAAAAAAATGATGTCAATCTTTTCACTCAAATTATGGTTGAAATAAAATTTGCAAAAATATTATTTAAATTAAATTGGAAAAAGGCATAATGGAGGAAATCTGACAAGTGATCTCAGACTTTATCATGTACAATCATTTGCATTTAATTACACCAGGCGAGTATTTTCATATATTGTCATCCGTAAAAGCCCAGTTAAATCTCTGTTTATGCTTGCATATTATTATTTTTCTTTGCTCCGTAACTTCCTTGCCTTCCTGAAAGAAAATGAGCATAAATATGACCTATAAAAAATGTATTTCAGGCATCAGTGACATTATCAGCTTCAGCTGAATGTGACTGAACGCCATCAAAGTAATACTCATCTGATCAAGAATTGCACCAGGTAAACAGCTGAATGTCTTCAAAAACAACGCAAGGGCATTCTGGAACACAACATCATCTCTCTCTAACTATTTATCACTGCAAATCAGTTTCTGAAGATTGCATTCTGCCCTCATTTGCTTGCCAATACGTCTGAGCAGCCCCAGAATAACCAACCCAGTTCATCATGCTCTTTTTTTGTTATCAGCCACTGGACTTTTTGATGATCTGCATAAACAGAGTTTCTGCAGCTTTTATAAAGGTACATTTAGGACTTTTTAAAGACCTTTTTAAGACAAAGTAAAAAAAAATGTAATTGCATCAATATTTTCTATATGTAAATGTAGAAGCACAAAATAAGTTGTAATGGCAACACTTCAAAGTTTGAAAACACAACTTCCAACCAATCGCTATTATACTTTTTAAGTCATTTTACAAAAAAAAACAAATTTGCTAATTTCTACATATTCTTAAATCAAAATTATTTTTACTTGAGAAGCAAAAGTCTTGAGAAGGGTTGTTTTCTGTGAAACTGATCAAAAATGTTGTTTTTGAGACTGATCAAAATGAGTTTATGGTTAAAAAGAACAAATACACACCAATGGACTTAGGAAAAACAACTGAATTCAAAGGGAAAATAAGTTTTCATACCCCATTTACAGATATTTGTTCTTGTTTTTTTTTCATTTTTAATATTGATCAATTCCTCAGAAAACAAGACTTCATTTGCAACTCAAGTAAATGTATCTTGATTTAAAGATGGTTAGATATTTGTATCGGAAAAAAACAAGAAAAATAAATGCTGAGGAAGATATTACTTTTTTAGCAATGCATGCAACATTTAATGCCATGACTTAATCAATTTAATACTTTCTGCTCTGATTTAAGACCTTAATTTGTGGAAGGATGAATTAGAACTTGTAAAGACCTTTTTAAGACCTGCAGTAATGCAACCAACTACAGTTTGTTTGGCATTTATGTGCCATTTAGAGAATGCCACAATAATAAACTAGTGTGGAAAACAGCATTGCAAGAAAATTGCACAAAACACCCATAAACGTCATGACTAGAATTTATGTCCATCCAGAAGTAATAAATACAGATTATTTCATAGGCATAATGGCAAATACATAGTCTTACTTGTGGATATATAATATAGTTTGCTTGCTTGCCACAAACATAAGTGTCTTTCAAAAATCTGACCTCGCAATTTTCGCCGTGATTATTTCATCCTAAAATGAACTAATTACAAAGTCTGTCTAGCTCATTTACGTTGACAGAAATGAAACTGGTTCTTGAGCTCATTAGAGCTGAAAAGAGATTAAATTAATCTTCTAATCAAAAAAATTTGCAGCTGCTTAGTAGCTGTATATCTCAGTCAAAGACAGAATCATTATTCCATAATATTCCATTCTTGTGTTTATTTACCAGACTTCTCAGGAATGAAGAACTATCTGTATTTCTTGCTCAGGTAACATGTTTCACTGCACGCTGATATAAATATAGATGAGAGCCGGGTCTCTCAGCGGCGACTAATTTTCTCCCAGTTATTCCTCCGTCTAGGATCATTAAACCTCATGGATTCATTTGTCTTTCACAGGCAAAACTGCAAGAGCTTCAAAAATCATTCAGTTTTCTGGTGCGATGTTTCTGCTCAATTTCTAAAATAATATTCAGATGGAAAACTTTTGGTCATTTAATTTTGATCAACTGAAGAGTGCAAAATTCTGACTGCCAAAATTCCTCCCAACTGAAATGATCAGTTCTCAAACTTTCTCACCTGATGCCATTTCCCCGAAAACAACTTATCAAATTAAAGCTTACATGAATAAATCACAAGTCGAAGTGGTCAGCAACTTTCCATTACAGTTTGGTTAACAGAAGCTCTTTTACATTTATTTTGACTAAAAATCATGGCCAAAATAATGTCACCTCTTGCATTTTTTTTTAGACGTTGGAATAAATCAAAATTGTTGCAAATATTCTCCATGATTTTCCATATCTGCTGAATTGGACAGTCTCCTATTCAAAACTTGTACACATCCTTTGACTTGTAACAAACATTCAGACAAATCTGATCATGATTTCACCTACCAATAAATAAGAACTCTCAGCTATGATTGAAACATTGATTCATTTCGCATATTTGCCATACAGTTTTCCATATTTCCCCCCAAAATCAACACAGAAAAGGTCCTCCTCACATAGCATCTGGGCCTGATCATGCTGTAAATAAATCCTCCAGCTGCTAAACTCTGAATTTAAAACAAGCATCTTGGGATGGTTCAAAACAAATCATTGGCCTTTTCTGAAGTGGCACGCAATGAATCCAGATCTCTATCCAATCGAATCCTAATGAAGAGACCTGAAAACAGCGGTCGATAGATGACAGCCTTGAAATCTGGAGCATTTTGCTGAATAAAAATGAAGAAACTGTTGGAAGAGAGATGTAGGAATGTCTCTGGTGTCTGTGGGAAATGTTTCATAGCAGAGCAACAGAACATTAAATCAAAAGTGTCGATAACACTGATCTGTGGGGTTTTGGTTCACTCCATCAAGGAAACACATGTGTGGATGAATTACTTGAGAAAAATGCCAATATTTTTGGCTATGAGTGTACAAGGACGATTCCCTCTTCGACAGCTCAGGGTTAAGAGCCTTGCTTCATGGTACAATGATAATAGATTCATAAATCACTCCAAATAAGGCTTAAAAGCCAGATCTTTAACCACTAAACTACACCACCAGTCAGATAAAATAGTGAGGGTAATTGAAAGACATATGAAGATGGTTGAGCCATCAGACTGGGACGGTTTCTACCTGTCCCGCTGTCAACTTCTATTGGAGCTGATCGTGGCCGTTTATGAAAGCAGGGCAGTTATTGCTGAAATACTGCTGAAGTGGATCAGTAAGTGACAAATGATTCAAATCTCTTCTGTTTTGATTATTTAACAAATCAATGCTCTAACGCCAAGTGCAAAATTGACACCCTTACAATCTGTACTAAACGTGTAGGATTTACAGCCGTTTGGTAATAAACCTCAGCACTCCAAACTTGAATTATCAGGGAATAAAAGCCACATGACCAGCCTTAACAGAACATCTGTGAATTACAATCTTCATCTGCTTTCAAATTAGTACCTTTTCTCAGGGAACATCCTGGTAATGTCCCGAAGGACGTCTGCTGGTTCTGTAATGCATAATTCCATTAAAGCGGCACTGTGTGAACTTTATACGAGGTTTCATTCAATAAAATACATGTGCTTAAGCGCTAATTTGAAAACAGAATTTTAATGAGCTCGAGTGGAGCAATAAGCACTATGGCTGCGTCTCTAGAGCAAATGGCTATTTTTATGTATGTATGCAGCTGTGAATATGAATGTTTGAAAGGGGGATACTAATATAGATTAAGCTCCTTTTAAGGAAAAGTCATTTTTTTCTGGTGCAAAAATATATGACAACAAAAATATTTCTTAGAATTCAATACTGAATATTTCTGTGTACAAAAAATGTAGAAGATTAAAGATGATTAAAAATAGTTTAAAAAGGCAGCTAAAGAGACATTTTAACCCAAAGGTGGCGATAGAGAAATAGTGTAGCTATATGAGCAATAATGATATGGAAAGAAATACCATATGCAAATACTTTAGATAAGATGTAACATTTAAGCACTTGCTTATATAAAATAACCACTTTAGGAAATACCCAGCATTTTTTTCTGCATGTTTATTCATTTTGGCATTTCATAAGTACTTTCCTAAGTTCTTTATATAAATTATTTTATAATACATTCACCAAAAAAGGCCTATTTAATGTGTCATATATATATATATATATATATATATGTGTGTGTGTGTGTGTGTGTGTGTTATTTTACTATCATTATAGTTTTTAATATTAATATTTTGAAGCAGATTTTTTTTATTTTCTGTTTTCATTTTAAGTTTAGTTAACTTTTTATTAATTTTTATTTATGCTTTAGTTATTTTAGTACATCAAGTACAACTAAAGAAAACCAAACAAAAGAAAAGAAAAAAGAAAGAAAGAAACTAAATTAAAATGAGGAATGTTGCCTTGGCAAATAGATGAAATATTTTATTAATATATAAATATTTTATTTCAGTAAAACTTTATTTTATTGCAAGTAACAAAATATTTTTGTAATGTTTTAGTTAGTTTGCTGAGCAACAAAGCTGCAACATTAAAACAAATTAATTACATTTTAATTATATATATTTCAAGTAACAAAATGTTTTTGTAATGTTTTAGTTAGTTTGCTGAGCAACATAAAGCTGCAACATAAAAAAAAAAAAAGAATTACATTTTAATTATATATATGAACATAAAATATGATTGTGGTTTAGTGTTTTAGGAGAAAAAAAAACATCGGGCCTTTAGAGCTAATTTCTATGAGACTAATGCCGTCCAGATAACATCTAGAAGTCCTGAAATTAAATCCTTCCTTTTTTTATTAGCCCATGATCCATATTTCAAGACTTTTATTGAATTCATCATAGCAGTTTTATTGAGTGCATCAACCCAGTGCACATGTGAGAGATATGAGCGGTTTGATGGGAGCAGCGTTCACATTTCAACAGGCGGTTGGTCTGCCGTACGGCTGCACATCACTAAATCATGTCAAGTATCTGCGGTGGGGTGTCAATGAAATTATAAAAGCACATCCCCAGACGTGTTTGAGCTTTACAGGAGGCTGTGCTCAGACTAGTGAAGAGTGTATCAGAATGAACCCGATCGAGCGGATACAGACAAGGACGACCCGTCCTCATGAAGATGCTTCTGTTTAAGCTGGGTATAAGTGGTCCTGAAACTGCTCTGCAGGGATCGCAGCTGATTTATCTCTATTTACAATGAGCTAAAGGGAAAAAATCATTTTGTGGCAACTATCGATTTCTGCAGCTTTGCAGTTTGTGGCCTACAGAGGGGATTTATCTGCAACTTTAAACAGATAGGAAGAAGCTTTTATGTTGTTCAGATTTGATTTTTCAGCTTAAAATGTATTCAAGGGCTGAAAAACACATCTTAAATCAGAATAATGTGGTTTTGTTGGTTTTAGATGGCCACTGGTCCAACTGGTCTGTTTCGAAGGTTCACATAAAAGGTGAAAATCAACAGCTTGGGAGACCTGATTAAACTAGCTAAGACCAGCAAACAACCTTATGCCAAATGCTGGAGAGAAAAAAATAAACAACACAGCGTGATGAATCCACTCCTTCACAATCCTCATCTCTATACTCATATTTCACAAGTGAACCTGAAGTTGTGAAACATCTTGCACATCTTTCACAATTTTGGTAAACTTATCAAAAACAGTTTTTCTACAGACATTTTGCATTTCCTTCCTTTGCCAATCTAAAATTGCTTTGAAAAGGCCTTTTTAGAGCTATTTTCTAAAAATGCTATTAAAACAAATATATGTGTATGTGTATATATCTAAAATTAATTAATTATAATTATATATAATTAACTAAAAATTTTTTAATTTATACATACATTCATATGTATTCATATTATACAATGTGAGTAAGCATTTATACGTACACACACAACTTCTTTTTTAATATATATATTTCATATACAGTATATATATATATATAAATCTTATTTATTTATAATTACATTATTTATATTATACAAATATAATACATTTTTATATATTTATTTGTTTTTTATTTTAATACATGTTTGTTTTTGTGCAGCATCACAAATCTTTTTTATTTATTAGTTTATTTATAATTATATTACATTATTTATAAATGGGTGTGTATTCCTGTGTGTGTGTGTGTGTATGTACATAAATGAAGTATTTCGGGGTAATACTTTTTGGTTATATGTTCAAGAATATTTAACTTTTTCAGTTACTGAAAAAAAAGCTAATTCAATAATCTTTTTTTTTTTCAATAATCAAAAACAAGTCTTTTATCTCAAAAAACCTTAGGCCAACTTCACTGCTGAAAACAAAAACCCTGTTAAATCAATTTCAATAATCCTCAAATCTCCATAGTCAACCAAAAAACATATTTAGCTTCAAATCCAGAAACAGACCCAGATTCGGGCAGAACAAACATTCTCTGTGCAGTTCATGCAGCCTATCTTAAACACAATCATATCAGTTTGCAGTGGAAAACATTTCATCTCTTTGGTAACAGCGCCATCGTGTGGTCACAGTTCTCACACAGCACTTAAAGACTAGATAAAGGCTAACCTGAGTGGTCATAAATGATAGATATTACAAGTGCAAAAGATAAATTATGAAAGCCTCCATTAAAAGCACACAAATTGGATTAATTTACACCGAAAACACCACAAATCCAAACCAAACAAGTGTGTCCCCCAGGCACTAACTGTTAATAACTGCAATATATAAAATGTTAGTTACAAGCAGTAATCCAAGCAGATTCGCATTTAAAGTTGCTAAAGGGAGACCCGAGGCACTCCGTCCGAATGATTGAGTGAGTCAGAAGCTGGCGGAGGAATGAAATGAGTTGCACCGCTGCTTGGCTGCTTCTGTATTCCCTAAACGCAGAGTCTGCCGGGAGACGAGTGTGTCTGTATCAGTAAATAACAGATGCTGTTTTCTTCAAACCCAGGGCCTTGTTCTGCGACTCCGAGCGCAAGCAGGAGAAGAAACAGACCTGTTCTGTCACTCGCCGAGAGTGAACAACCTGCCTCAGGTTTAATACCTACACTAACTCAAGATTTGGAGATAGTAAAGAAAGGCTGGACTCTCTTCAAGGATCAGTTCATCCAAAAATGAAAACACTGTCATGTTGCTTTTAAACCTGTAGGACTATTTCTGCCAAAAAACACAAAATGAGATATTCTGAAGCTGAATAATCTACTGGCCATTTTTTCTATGCAATGCAACGTTAAAGCTTGAGAAAGATGCAAAAAAGCATATAAAAAATGTGGTGCATATGAGTCTATGTGCTATATTTAAAATCTTCTGGAGCCGTATGATAGATTTATGCAAGGAACAGACTGAAATTTTAGTTCACATAAAATCTTGACAACCACCCTAGCTATCCTTGGCATGTTAATGAGAGTTGCCATAAACTCAACATGAAATGGCATTTACAACCCGTTTTGCTTACATAATCTTTCTGAAATAATTCTTAGTGCAACGGGATATTCGGATAAAAAATGTGGAGCAAGACCTGCTTTATTTATTAGGATTTGATTGGACTGGACTGCTTACATAATGGAAAATAAAA